TAATAATTCACACATGCATCAGGCCTGCAGAGGATATGCAGGTCCACAGATAGTGCAGCATCAGTGCCTGAGGAGCTGGTGCTGGAGGCCCAGCACACTGGGCAGCCAGGCACCAGCAGTGTCACTGCAAGGAAATACTGGAAATGTTGTATTGGCTGTGGTGGTGTTTCTGAGGCTCACCCTGCCCCTCTTCCACTGGGACACAGGATTTTATTTTAAATTCAGAACTTTAATACTTTTAAAAAATGTTAATACAGAAATCCCTTTTGTATAAGGTATTTGTATAAGGCAACTCTCAAACCTGACACAGAACTTTTTCTGTTACTGCTCTTCACCCAGCTTTTCCCCAGACATCTCAGTCCTGGTCGTATTTGGTCAGCCCTGCCCCGTGCTGCTCTCTTTCTTGCCCTGATATGAACCCACAGACCAAAGTCTTTAAATTCTCTGTTATTCCTCTTCTCTAGGCTCCATCTATGCAGGCAATGTGCAAGAACAAAATGGGATGTAATTACCAAACTGACATTTATTTAATTTATTCTTAAATATGTTCATGAATGGGAATTCCCTGGCCTTCCTGGCTCCCCTCTCCCATCTTTAGCCATCCTTGTAGTTGCTAGTTTCCTCCTGATAGCTAACATTTATCTTTTTCTGTGTCAACTAAACCTAGTGCCTTATCTTCACTGAGCACAAGAAACAATTTCATCAAGCTTCTTTTAAAGAGTCCAGCACATCTGGTGGATTTTGGTTGCATCCATCCTCATCTCTTTTATAATGGTGGGAAAATGAGTCCTTCTGTATCCCACCATGGGAAGCTCTGAGGTGAGTAGGGGAAGAATGGGAGGCAATGCTCTGCTTTCTCATCTGGGGAAGAGCCTCTCAACAGTGGATGCTCTAAGAAAATTCCCTTTTCCATAGGAAATTAAGACTGGGAAGGGGTTAGGAGAAAGGATGGAGCAGAAAGCAGTAACTGATGGAAGGCTGGAACAAATGGTAACGACGAGGTTAGAGGGAAGGCAGAGCTCAGGGCACTTTTGAGAAGAGAGGTCTTGTTTTTTGTATCTGTTGTTGCTTTCTGTCACTTTATATGCAATTTTTGGAGTATTAAAAAAGTAAATTAATGGGAAATTAAAAATATTTCCATCTCCTTTTTGGGGAGGGGGGATCCTTTGCAGGTTACTGCAGAGAAGTGGCACCTGGGCTGCTGCAGTGCTGGGCACACTCCATGCATGGAACAGCTCTTGTGTTAGAGCTCAGCAGCCAGGGCTTCCTCCCTCATTTGCTGGACTGATTTAGATAGGATCATGGAGACTAGACGCCACGTAGTAGTTTTTAGTTTGTAGAGAGGGAGAATAGCAGGCAGGGCTCTCTGATTTTTCCCTTAGCCATCATTTCTAGGACAGCGGGTGGAAGCCTGCAATCTCCTACTGTCCTTCAGAGGCCTCTCTGGTTTTGCTATTTTATGCTGAATCCCTACACTGAATTTACTACGCTGCAAGTTCTCTTGATGCTTTATGTTTCATCCCCTGCAGACTTCTTTCCCGTTTTTTCCCTGTGAGGTTCCAATCCCTCTTGCTGCTTTGTGGTAATTGGGGTGGTCTCCTCCTCTTTCCTCCCTCACTCCTTTTCCAGTTATCCCAGTTGTTTCTGTTTACTCTTCCTCTTCCACTTTCTCCTGCTCTTTATTAACACCTATGTTTCTCTTGCATGCTACCCTGTTCCTCCACTATATTCCCACCCATCCTGTTCTTCAATGTTCTGCACCATGTCAACAGTTTTCTACCTCATGAATCTTGCTCCCTGAGGTTTCTTATATGAAAACAAAACCTTGGTGCATTTGCAGTCATTCATCTCTTCCTATTGCTGACTCTGTCCCTCCCTCCCACCTGAGTGGAATCAAAATAATTTAATTTCCTTAAATAGCTCCTCTGCCTGTGTGCCTGACTCCTGCCCCAAGCCAGCTCCTGCCAGGCAGGTGGTTGCTGGAGCAGTGGGTTCTCTTCGAGGTAGACACCCCTGACTGCTTCATGCATGGGCTTAGCAGGGTTTTGCCATCAGCCTTTCCAGAGGGTCAGCATCCTTCCTAAAGCAGGCGTGAGAACCACAGAAGCCACTGCCGGAGCCAGGCAATGCCGCCAGGCTGCCTACGGATCCACAGTTAATACCTTCGAGGTTTGCATCTTCAGCCTCTCAATGCAAGTCTTACAAAAGTTATTTGAATTCCAGTTCAAATTTGTTTATTAACTGTCCAAACTAAATGAAAAGTGAAACTTTTCATAATTCCTGACTGCCAAAACCTCCCAGCTAGAGAACGGTCTCCAAGACAATCTCTCCTTGCGCTTTATATGATGAGGGAGGAAAAGAGGCGGTTGCTCTCCCTGACCCTCCCCTAACCTCCACATTTTGGAACCTCCCTCTCACCATGAATAACTCCAGTGTCTGCCACTGGTGCTGGGCAGAGCATTGCCAATCATCCTCCTCAGCAGGAAGTGGACATGATTTTGATAGTGTCACTCTACCACACATGAGACACTGAATAGCATCAAGAAAACTGAGCAGTTTTGTTAATCTCACTGGTGTTTGGCAACCTCTCAGCAGCAGCCACAGAGGCACTACAGCTGTCTGTCTGCAGCCCCAGGAATACAATGCTGCATTATTTTATATTCGGCAGATCATCTTTCCAATCATAAGGTCTGGAATGTTTTATATATTTACTTCTCTGTGAGGAAAGCTTCCTACTGTCACTAATCAGCAGATTTTTCAAGACCTACTGTCCTTTGCATTACAGAGATAAATGAATTGATACTTACAAAGCGCTTTGGGGTCCTAAGGTGGAAGTACAAAATATCATGTGTATTATTTGGAAACAACCTCAGAATAAGTTACATGGTTGGTTACTGTGTCATTACCAGTGATGCAAGTCCAACCACATCCTCCATCCAAATCTTCCTGAAGGCTCAATTTTTTTTCCTCTGATCTTCACAAATGTTAACTCACATTGATCCTGTTCTCCCCTCCAATATTATTTTGGTGGAGAAAAACTGAATAAAATAATAAACATTAAAAAAGACACAATGAAGCATTTTAACAATGTCCCTCAGAGTGCTCAACCTGTAATGTCTTAAAAATAACATGCCTAAAATTATAGTAATGCACTGATGGCAAGCCAAGAGATGTTATCCTTTACAGAGTCCAGCACTGAGCTCTTGTTTCTTTTTTTTTCCCTCTTTCTTGTTTTTAATTAGCATTAGTAGTGTGCCTAAATTGGGCAATCATGGAACACAAAACCTGTGTCCGGTAACTTGAAATTGCTAGTTAGTTCCCCCTTTAAAGTATTTGCCCTCCAAATGGGAGAGAGCAGGTGCTGGGAAGGAGCAAAACATCAGTGAGATTGGGCAGTATGGGAGGTGGCTGTGGTGGCCCTGGTAGCCCAGCTTTGTCCAGGTTCCTCAGGACATGTAAGGGGAGATGGCTGGGATGCTGCCTCAGCACCGCTGCTTCCACTGGCTCTGCTCTCCTGCCCGTCACAGCCAGCTGCAGTACCACCTCTGCATGTCATTATTTATATTTCCCTGCTGCACCAGCCCTGCTGCCTCTCAGGGCACCTCCACCCAAAGTGATGACTTGAGCCCTGTGGAATGAAGAGTGGGTTTGTCTGGAGAAGCAGCTCAGCCTGGACCGGTGGCAGCAGGAGCTGGGATGCTGCATTGCTCAGTTCCCAGTGGTGACTACCAAGTCTCTGGTGTTGAGTGTGTTGCTGGGCATGAGCACAGGGCCAGGACACAGGAGAGACTCCTGAACCAGCCCAGGAAATGGAGTGAGTGAATGGTGGTTTAGCAGAGCTAATGGCCAGAGGATGAATTTAACTCAGCATTACAGCCCATGTAACAGAAACACAATTGCAAAATATTGTTAAAACAAAGGTGTAGTGGTTCCTGTCCAGGAAGGAGAGGATGCATATTGGGATGTGGAAGAACAGTCATGAGAGAAGGGGAAGAAAGGTCAAATGAGGATGGCACCGACCTGAGCTGTCAATACCTTGCTTCAGGCAGTGAGAGGGCACAGGGGGGAACCCATGCTGGAAGGAGCAGAGCCAGGAATGCCTGTGGGGAGTATTTGGTACTCAGAGGCATATGCCTGGAATCCAGCGATACCCTCTTGCCATGAGAAGGGGTCACAGCACTGTCACCAGAGGTTTTGAGCACTGCACTGTTCTGATGCCACAGAAGCAAACAAGTGCCTTCTCCCAGAGAGATGTTTGGTGCAGTCAGGCAAGGTTTCAGCTCTCCTCTTGGCTCCAACTTTACAGGTATTTCATTTGTTCCTCGCTGAGCTCCTCCAGCCACCCAGGCTAGGTTGCCCAAGAGCAGAGGCGGAGTGCACAGACCTGCTCGAGAAGCAGCATGTGAATGAACTTGTGTGGCAGTGGAACTCGAATGGAGCTCGGCACGAGTCTGTCAGCCTGAATGAGCAAGAAACTGCGCGGTGCCTTGGGGACCAGCCTACCCCCTTCCCAGTGAGCCGCGGGCAGAGGAGAGCGGCTGGGCTGTGCATACCTGGTGCTGCGGGGCTCTACGGGGCTCCGCGGTGCCCAGCAGCAGCTCTGCCCCGAGTCCTGCAGCCTGGGCACTGCTTTGCGAGGCAGCAAGCGGCGAGGCCGGGGGTCCCTGACCCCTGCAGGGTCCCCTTGGGCTGCCAGGGAGCACAGAGGTACCAGGGCTCCGGGAAAGCGCCTCAACTCCCCGCTGCCCGATCTGGGTCCCGGGGTGAGCAGGGCAGTCCTGGTCCCGACCTGGAAGCGCCCTCGGCGGCGGCGAAACGCCGGGAGGAACAGGGCCGGGGTCTCCGGGGTCCGCCGCAGCGAGCCCGAGCGCACCGGGCCGGGCCTGGCTCCATCGCCCTTTGTCCACCGCCCCGGGGCAGGTGCGGGCGGCGCGGCCGGGGACAAAGCGGCTGCGAGCTCCNGACAGGACGGGACACCCACGGTGGCTGCTGTGCTTGCAGAGGGCTTGCGGGAGTACTTCAGCCAGTTCGGCGAGGTGAAGGAGTGCCTGGTGATGCGGGACCCGCTGACAAAGAGATCCAGGTGAGAGGCCGGGCCCGCGCCTCCCTTCGCCCCCGCCGCGGCCCGGCCGCCACTTTAACCAACTTTCTCTCTTCTCTCCTCATCCCCTCTTCTGCCCGGGCTGCGGGGCTCAGGGGCTTCGGGTTCGTCACGTTCATGGACCAGGCTGGCGTCGACAAGGTCCTGGCCCAATCCAGACACGAACTGGACTCCAAGACGGTGAGATGACTTCTCTCATCTCAGGGGTGCCTTTGCCGGCGGAACGGCTGTGCTCGGAGCAGCCGTCGATTGTAGTGTTTGATTTCCAGTTAGAGGTTGTAAACTATTGATTCCTGATACAGATCAATCGTTCTCTTTTCTGTCCTACTTGCCGGCGGGTAGCCTAGCTGCCGCCCAAGCACCGGGCTCACCGTGTGCCGTTTCCTGGTGTGGGTCTGCGGATCTTGGTGATGGTTTTCATCTCGCCTGCTGGTTTTAAGGCCCATCCGGGCAGTGACTGTAGCCCTTTCGGAGCTGGGACACCTGAACACGTTTGGGATGAGGATTTAGCCCGGGAGATAAGATGTGGCTGTGTTTGGAGAGAGGGAAGCCGCCCTTTCATCCTGTGTGCTGCTGATCCCTCCTCGGGGTGCTGCTCCCCAGTGCCCAGGCCCTGCTTCCCTGGCCACGGTGGCCTATTCCCCACCCCCCTTCCTGGCAGAGAGCCCTCGTTCTGTGCACCCCAGAGACTCTCTTGTGGTTTCCCAGGTGAAGTTTTTGTAATGGTCATGGAGGCTCAGGACTTTATTGTCTCCAAGTGTAGCCAGTGCCTGCCGTGTGGGCCATCATCAGCCTCTCGGAGTGGCTGCGGCTTCAGCCCTCACTCTGCAAGTTTGGGTGATGAGGAGCCCCAGCTGGGCCAGCAGAAAGATTTGGTAGCTCACTGGACTAGTGGTGTGGTGTGGTGGGTCCTGCCTTGTGAATCTGTGGTGCTCATGAGATGTGCAGACTGTTTTGAGGGGTGGAGGTGAGATGTCTGAGTGGGAGGTCCCTTCTTTTAGTTTTAGTGACTTGTGTTCCCCTGAATTCCTTTTCCTTATTCCTGCCCTGGGGTGAAGGTGAGGGTAGGGATGGGGGAGTGGCTGGGGCTGCAAGAGGATGACATGGTGATGGGGCATGTTCTGGCTTCAGGCAAGGGCTGCTGAGGAGTCCAAATGTAGAGTTTTATTTCTTGCAGCGCGTGGCCCAGGCATCCTAGTCTTTATCTTGCTAGAAGGAGGGCGGGAGAGTGAGACCCTCTTTCTTAGGGTTTACGGCATGAGTTGCAGCAAGATTTATGTCTGTTCCTGTTTAACTGCCTGGATCGTTCCCTTTGATGTGCATAGGTCCTTCCTCCCCACGGGAGCTCCTGCTTAAACCCACCCCAGCCTTCCTGGCTGAGGCTGGGTCCTCAGGACTCCCAGCCCTCCTCCTTCCAGAAGTGATGTAAAATGAATTTTGCTCTGAACGGGAGGGGGGGTTACAGGAATGTCTTTTGAGGAGGGCCTAGGGTTTTCTTTTTTCTTTTTTTTTCTTTTTTTTTTTTTTTTTTAACTAGCCTGTGTAAACACAGTGTCTGATCAGCTACTCCTATCATGAGTCTGTGGGCTGGCATAGACCCCTCTTGAAAATGCAAGTGATGGATGTCTGTTGTAGCAGTAATCCTGGAAGTGTTTCAGAGCTAGGAGTGAGCTGAAATCCACGTTGTCCATTCTTCTCCCCAAGCCACCGCTGCTGGCTGTGCGAAGGTGCTGCGCAGCCCATGGTGCAGCCCAGGCGGGCAGGGAGGGACGGTGGGCACTGCGGGAGAACAGAAGAGCCTCGTGGTGTGGGGCGCGTGGGGACCGGCCAGCCATTGAAATTCCCCACTGCATCTGCTCCGCTCGCCCCGCCGGCGCGGCAAAGAGAATGGGGACAATTTCACCAGGGTCTTCTTCTTTGTTAGGAACTTTGATCCTCTTCCCCCTTCCTTTTTATTTTTTGTTTAGTGCAGTTTTCAGGTGGGTCAGATGTTTTGGTGTGTTTTGCCTCGTGAGAGGTTGGTCTTGTGGGAGCACCTGGAACCTCCATATGCCTTTTCTCTGCTAGGTGAAAGGCTCTGCTATGAGTCGTGGGTTAAATGACACAAACTCATCTAAATCTTAATTTAGAGTTTTATGAAACTTTTCAAGAAAAGGCCTGGTGTCCTGTAAGGACAGCCTTCTCATGGGGCTTGGTGTCTCCTGGCAAACAGCATTTGATAGACAGTGTCTGATCAACTTGTTGCTTTATTGTTTTCTGATTCTTCCTACCCTAATGAAAGCGGTTGGCCTGATTCTTTGGGGCAGTCTTGTTCTTTTCAGACTCTTCTTTGTTTGTAAGCTAGATAGCAGCAGACTACAGGGTTATTTTTGAAAATACTTGATATGAGAATTGGCTTTACAGTCTCAAGGTAAAAGATTTGCTTGACTTAGTTAAGCTGCAGCTGGCTGCTGCCTTGAGCTGCTTCTTTACTTGCTCTGGGAAGAGCACTTGGCAGTGCTGGGTCATCCCATCGTTTCTTTGTTGCCATTGTTGAGTTTTTGCTGGGTTTGTCTGTTGTGGTGGAGGGAGTGATCTGCAGCTCCCCGGCAGTGCAGACCAGCAGGGCAGAGGTAGTGGCAGAGGTACAGTGAAAGAACAGACCTGGACCTGACGTCTCATGGGTCCTTCCCAGCCCTTCCTCTGCTTTGGGACACTGATACCAGCTAGGCTAACACAGGAGTTACGTGACCTGAGCTATGAAATTGGACTGGAGGTGGCCTGAAGAGCATTACTGAGGACCTGGCTGGCCTGTTGGTACACCTGCAACTTCAGTGGGATTCCTCATGCCCAAAGCCTTGTGGGGTGAACTGGAAGCAGTTTGAGCTCGGGTGACTTCCATTCACTGCAGCCTGATCTGGGGTTTTGTTTTTTGGATACAATCTGAGCAATTCTGAATGCTCTTAGCAGATTTCTATCTGGGTTTGTAAAAAGGATCTATTACGTCAGTAGGTGACACTGAAACACAATTCCTCCAGGGTTATTTTAACACCAGAAATGAGGGAATAAGGTACTGGTGCCTTTGCTTTAATTATGAAAGACTCCAGCCACCAAGGAGCAGTCCAGTTTAAGTAACTTGAGTCAGGCACCAAACTCGCTCCCCTCTGCATGTTCCCAGGGCTGAGCCTGCAGTCGGTCACCCCAGCCTCCCTCTACCTGCAACAATAGCTGGTTGTGCAGAAGAATTTGTGAAATGACTGCCTGCTCTCTCCAGCCAGGAGGACACGTTATCTCTGCCTAGTTGATCACACTCAGGGTAATGAGAAAATGAGGCTGAGCTTAGCATTGCTGAGTATGAAAGCATCTTATTGGCAGGAGCTGAATGACACTGGCTGAGAAGTAAAAGACAGTAGATTATTGTTTTTGCTTATTATCTGCCATCAACCTCCTGGTCTCCTGCCGTCCCCTGTCCTCAGAATTCGCTGTGGGTGTCTGCACTAGCCAGGAAGCAGTGGAAGGGGGTGTGTGTGCCTGGGGAGGGGAGGGCCTGGATGGTTCCGATGCCCCAGGGAGGCACTGGAGGATATGCTAATCTGCTGGCGCTTAGAGCTTGGGGAGCGAGGTTTATTTTTGAATTTATTTGTGCTCTTCAGTTTTGCCTGTGTTTACCTACGTGCTGAGTTTATTTATGTTGTAAGCTGTGAGTCAGGATGGAGGTGGGGAAGGCAGGGAGAGGAGCTGGTGGAAGGGCACAGGGGGGCCAAGCTCCGGGGCTGTGAGACAAGTAAAAGGATGCAGGACGGGAGGGCAGCCAGGCTGGAAAGCTGAACAAAGCAGTGAGAGGAGCTGGAGAAACACAGCTTCCTTTTGGGCTGTTGGAGCTGCTGGGCTGATGGGACAACGCTCCAGGCTGCCCTCCCAGCTGCAGCCGGTCCAAGTGCGGGGATGAGCCAAACCTGCCTTTACCACAGGTCTTTGTAAGCTGATTTGTAGGTCTGGATCATCCCCGATGTGATGTAACTTTACAGGAGTTGCTGTAAAAATAGGCTATAAAGAAAGAGGTGGTGGCTGAGGAGGAGAGATGGCTTTGTGGGTGTTTGGCTTGCAGCTGCATTAGTGTTGTCCCAGCTTTTGTGGTGGTGCTGGTGGTGGTGTGAAGCCAATATAGGCACGCGCTCATCCATGCTGAGCCCGGCAGAACATGCAGCACCTGGATGGCAGCACGGGGCCCGGCTGCTCCGGCCAGCAGCAGGTTTATAGGGAAGCTGAACAGGCACAATGGAGGCTCAGCCCGCGGAGGGAGGGAGGGGAGGGGGGGAGGCATCACGGCTTTGTGTGCAGTGCGGCCTGGGGAGAGGGGCAGCACGATCCCTGCGGCCGCAGCCTCTGCAGCCGGGGGGCCTGGGCTCCTCGGGTTAATTTGTGCCATCCTGTCTGCTCTTTTATTGCTTCTTTTTGTCTGCACTTCAGTCTGTGTTTGAAGGGATGAAATGTTTGAGGGTTTGTGCACTGCTTCTTTTCTGTCTTGTTAATACCCAGCTGAACTCCGTACTTGTAAGCAGAGTGAAGGGTGAGAGCAAAGAAGGCAAAATAAACCACTTTTAATATGAGGCTGGTGAGGCAAGGCGCCCAGGGGCTGGCCAAGCGGGAGGGTGCAGCCCAGCCTGTTAATCCCAGCATGTGATGGGCTCTCAGTGCATCTGCCCAGCGCTCAGCAGGAGATGGACCACTGCATGCTGGGACTTGTAGTCTCCCTGGATTACACCTTACCAAGAGGGAAAGATGTCTGCATCCAGCTTAATTTTGTGTATCTCAGGTAGATTCTTTGGGTTTTTAGTAAGATGCCACATGGGCAGAGACAGCTGCACATATGGGGGAAACCCTGTGTCTGTAAATAGGCAGGGAAAGTGTGTTCACCTGTTCTTCCCTACATCTCTTTCAGATTGACCCGAAGGTAGCGTTCCCTCGCCGAGCACAGCCCAAGGTAAGCACTTTTGGCAGCCCTTGTGCCCACAATGGGTGAGCCTTGTGGTGGTTGGACTTGTCCTTCTGTGCAAGGTGACCAGTGCATGCAACAGAGTTGCTCGCTGGGATTTGCTCAGGACTCACCTGGAGCGCAGTGCTGGGAGTTTGCATGGCACTGAAGGAGCCAGGAGGCCCCTTGGTTATACTTCAGGATGCACTAGATACAGCTGGTGGATTAAATGCTGCCCAGGGTGAACTTAGTCCTTCCGAGGTTGCAGACAATGTTTGGAAGTTCCAGGCCTTAGGAGATATGGAACAGGTCCATCCTGTGATGCGACACAGGTAGAAGAGTGTCTTATGTGTGCACCTGTGTGTGATGAATAGGTGTATGGCAGCAAAGGAAAGAAGGATTTCACTTTGTGAAATGCCCTTGTGTACTTCAGCACTGGAAAAGGCAAAAGGAGCTTGGTGTTGGATCTTACCTACAAGAGGCTCTGGCATTAAAATGCACAGTGGCAGGAACCTTTTCCAGGTGTGCAGCTAGAAACTTTTAGCTGAGGAGCCAGCAGCACACTGAAGACTGCCTTTAGACTTTGGGTCTTCCTTTAACTTGGCTCTTGGATGTGAGTTTTAAAGTTCAGAGTCTGTAAATTCCAAGTGCTGTTAGGGGTGAAAGAGCTAGGGAGAAGCTGTGTTGAGAAGCAGAGAGGAAAGAGGAGACTGGTGCTGGGAGGGAAATAAGGGGTTCAGGCACTGAGAACAATTGGTGAGCAGGTATCCCAAGTAACTGGAGCCAGGAAGCACATGGTAGGAATTGGGTTAATTCCATTAAGCAGTTTGGTGACAGAAGGTGCTTTAGTGTTAGAACGGGCTGCTCTCCAAGCCAGGGAATTGCTGCGGATTAGCCCTATGCTCCTTGGGGTAATTAGGACCATGTGTTCCTCTGAGAGCAGGGGTGTAGCCAAGCAGCTAAGGGGAGGATGCAGCTGGAGAGCTGGTTCAAAGGATGTCGATGTGCCTCAGCCTGGCAGCCATGGCCCCTCTCAGGGCAGTCAGTTTTCTTCCTTGTCCCAGCTTATCACTGACAAGTGGCAGAGGGATCTTGCCTTTACCTTCTTGCAGAGGCAAAAGCAATTTAACTGGGTGTTAACTGGGCTCTATTTAAGTGACTGGAGAACGGTAGTGAAATGAGGCTTATTCTATTTCAGACTGGAATGCTGTGCAATTTGTGGGGTGGGAAGGCAAAGCCTGGGGAACCTGCCTGTGCTGGCAGACCTCCTGCCACCCTGGGAGCAGAGCAGGTACCTCTGGGGTTGCCTGGAGGAGGCTGGCTGTGCAAAGTGGCAGGGCTGGGGAAAGGACAGCTGTGCCCCATACATTTGGGGTGCTGTCACAGTGCCAAGGGAGCTGTGGCAATTTGGTGAGGGGAGAGGCTGGTAATTGTCTGACAAGGAGGTGGTGTCTGGGTGCTGGCACATCTTATGGTATCTGTGAAGGCAAGGGTATGAATCTGGTGTGGGACAGATCTGCCAGCTGTGTTTGGCCAGAGGGCTTCAAGAAGTTGGAAGCTCAGCTGCAGCAAAGGGAAAAGTGTTTCCCGGCAGCAGAGGGGAGTTAGTGGCCTTTTGAGTCTCGTTCTCTGCTCACTCTGGGTTTATTTGGTGAATTCCTGTCCTTCCCTTTTCCAGATGGTGACCCGAACGAAGAAGATATTTGTGGGTGGTCTGTCTGTGAACACTACTGTGGAGGATGTGAAACAATATTTCGAGCAGTTTGGGAAGGTAAGTCTCTTGAGTGATGTTGGATCAAAGCTGTTGCTTCTGGGGCAAAAGAAGTTTTCTGAACTTTTGTGGGGGTGGGATTAGAAGCTTGAATCTTTTGCAAGGGTTAAGTAGATTAAAGGTCAGTTACAGATGCTGGCTGGCTGTAATGTCCTTGCAGGAGCTACAGCCAGTGACTCCTGCCCTGTGGTGATTTGAAACAGAATTTATCCTTGTTCCCAGAGTTGTTAGGACCTTAGCTATGGAAAATGGTTTTCCAATTTTTCCCTATCCAGAATCCTCTTGTGGCACATAGATTTGCAGTTTGTTCAAATGCTGGAGGAAGGTTTGTAGACACTCATAACAGAGTGGCTGCTTTATCAAACCTCTCATTTGGCCTGTTTCTAACTCAAAATGTTGTGATGTATTTTTCAATAAACCTTTATTAAAAATACGTCTTTTGGTTCTAAAACTTCTCCTGCTGAGTCTTGGGCTAGTGGTGGTGTAAGTTTTGTATAGTTGAAGAAAGTTTGGCATTAAGGCTGTCCCTTGTCCTGGTCTGGCTCTTCTGTGGCCAGTGGTGGCTCAGGGAGGGGTGGGTTACTGTGGCTGGAAGTCACTTGTGCCATGGTCCGTGACAGCCAGGTGTGTGAATTGTGAGACTGGGCCAAATCTGAGGATTGGAGGGGGAGCTCAATTGAGGTCTTCCAGCTGAGGAGATTGTCAGCATCCCCAGGAGCAATATCAGCAGGATCAGACTGAAGGAACCCAATATTTTTAAGGGGATTAGGAACTGTAGGAGATCATCGTACCCAAGTGCCGAGTGTGGTCACCTCTTTGGCAGGACATTGACTGTTTCACTGTTGTTCAGTGGTGTTGTGCATAGGTTTGCTCTTTGGGGCAGGAAGTTTTAGGTTCTGCAGCTCTTGGAACCTTCCTGCCCAGTTAGGAGGGAAGAACACATTTTGGTGGGTGGTGACCTGGCCAGAATGTTGATGATAGAATCACGATCATGGAGGGAAGTACCATGAGAACTGCTGTGTGGGGATAAAGGCTTGGTATTAATTTTCTTTTGAAATTTCCTGAAAAGGGGTGATGTTATGTTAAGGCCCACTAATTAGTGAAAACAAAGGGAGTTTTGTAACCAGATTTGCCATATTGCTGAAACTTTTGGGCAAAAAGTTTGGGACAAGTATCTGCTCATAACCTTTGGTGCTTCTGAAGCCAAATTTGCATGTCCTGGTGTGCAAAGCGGGACTCTGTTCACTCCTAAGAGAAAGTGGTTGGATGTCCTCATGTTTGCCAGTTGGTATCCCTATGTGGTTTCTTCCATATAAGAAACAGGCAAACTCTGTTGTGTCCCCAAGAGCTTTTACATGGTATCTTCAAGAGTGCCACCACTAAAGGTGGTGGTGTCCATGTGTCTGTGCAGTCTGAAGGCTGTTTGACTTGCAAGTTCTTCTGTGCTACTGATGGATGTGTTTGATAGGAAAACAAATTGTCTTTGGCATAATCCCCTTTTAACCTTGGCAGTATCCCTGCTAATTCAAAGAAGAAGCATGTAACAGAGCACTCAGTTTCCAGGCAGTTCTAGTTGCTCTAGTCTGAGCAGTCCTTTCCAGCTCATTTGGGGTGCTGTTATGTTTCTCTTGTTTAATGGTTGTGTGCCGAGAGGTGTCCTGACATCAGGTGACTGACAAGGACTGGTTGTGTGAGACTGTTTTCTGGAGTGGGCAGGAGGGATTGTTCTGCATAGCTCAGTGCCAATCATTTCTGAAAAAGCAGTGTGCCAGACAACATCCAGTGCTCCAAATCTGCGTGAGGCTGGGGCAGTTGTCCCCTTGGCTCTGGGGAGTTTCCATGGGGAGACGTTAGGGCTGGTCAGATTGACTTGCTGTTTTCAGGGCAGTATTCTGACTCATCTGTTCACTTTAGATGAGAGATTCCTCAGAGCTCTTGTGTAAAGCATCATTCCTGGCCTGTAACCATCTTCCAGACTAAGCCTCAAATAACTCACCCATGGTCAGGAGATCTGTTTCCTGAGACATTCTCTACAGTAGATAGCTTGGTATGGCTGATGGGCGGGATCAGTGGGAGAGTGCATTTCAGGGGAAAGCCTTGTGACCTTCAGCTCTGGAGTTCTGAGCGCTGAATGTGCTGTTATATGGTTTATAGCGCTAAGCAAAGCCTGTTGTCGTCAATTTCAGCTGTGACTCAGAAAACATGATTTTGATACACAGTCTCTCCTGGTGGCTCTGTATGATGTGTTGGGGCCTCCCAGGTTTCAGAGGTCTCCTAGAATCCCATCTTTACAGGTATCCCAGACACCACAAGTGGTCTTCATCTCTTTGATTTATAGCATCTTTAAGTGAGAGGTCCTGAAGCTCCAGTCATGGTCTCATCATCTCAGAAAATGATTTTTCATTCAGACTTTCCAAGTCACTTGGGTCCAGTGCTGCTTATGGAATTGTATCAGGACTGTGTGAAAAGGAACTGTTAAGGATGCTCTTTTAAATAATTTCTTTAGAGGACTTACCATCTTAGGAAAGAGCTTTGTAACTATTCCCTTTTCTTTGAAGTGGCCCCATAGTTACCTGGGATATGGCAGGACAAAACTTGCTCCTCTTTCCTCCTGCCTGTCCAGGAAAGGCATGGGAACACTTGGGACCTAGAGAGGAGAGAGCCGAGAGCACCAAGGCATCCTGTCCTGATTCCTCAAGCTCAAAGTGCCAGGGTCCCAGGGGTGATTTTCAGTCAGTTGTTGAGAATCCAGTGGCAAGCTCACTTTGGATCTTGGCTTCAGGGGGAGATGATGCTCTGCTTCTGAGGACAGGGGAATCCAGGCTGCTGGATGGCTTTGGTATGAAGGTTTGTACATAACCCTCAGGCCACAAGCCTGAGTGTGTCTCAGATTTGCCACCACTTCAGGTCTTGAAATTAGGATAGATGCTTTTGAAAAATACATTTTAGCCCAGACAGAAAGCATGTACATGCTGAAGGAATTACAAGAGGAAGTGCTATGGCCTGCAGAACAGATGAGGTCAAATTAGATTATCATAATGTTCTCTCCAGTTCAAATCCGTGAACTGCAGCTCACAAGTCTACCAAGGTGGTTCGTGTCAGTGCATCTCAGGTCAGAAGCAGCACACCTCCTACATCCATTAGCAGGAAAAAAATGGAAGTTTACTTGGGCTGCAAAGCAACTGGTTTTCTATTTCATTAGACAAAATTCCCAAATGTGATTTTTCCATTTTGACATTTCTGCTTATTCTTCTATTTTTTTGGTTTGTTTTGTTTTGTTTCCTTGCTGTGTCCAAAACCTTCTCTCACTTTTGTAAAATGGAAGTGGCAAAAGAAAGGTGAAAATGTGTGAAAAGGAAATCCATGAGTATTACTTAGTGATAAAGCAATAGAGGGAGAGGCTGCCACGCCAGTTCTTCATATCAAAATACTTGGTTTTAACAGGCACAAAAGGTGAAGCTTTCAAAGAGGATCCCAAATACAGTGTGAGTGTCTCTGCTTCAAAGAGGTATCAGTTTGGGGTTTTTTCGCCTTCCAAAACTCTGACTAAAATATATGGGCTGCTATTTTCCTGAGAAAGAAAATAGAAATTTATTTTTTTTTAGTACCGAGAGAGAGACTGAGAAGTGATCTCAAGCTGGCTGTGGCTTGTCAGGTGCAGCTGCAAGGGTTTTGAGCACGAGATCTCTAGGAAACACTTCTGTGGTTCCAAAACTTGAATCTCTCTGAGATCCAAGCTCAGGCCATGCACATGCTTTTTAAAGGAGATTATTTTTTCAACTGTAAGACAGAAGTCCTGGAAAGACTTTCATTCACTGTAGTTTGACTTAAGTTGGATGGTGCTGAAGATCTTTAGACAGCACAAGGAATTACTTTGACAGTTTCTCTAGATTCAGGCTACTACTCCCACTGCAACCTGCAACAGAAAGAGAGGAGGAAGGTGTCTTGGACCTACCACCTCAGGCACAGCTAGTCCTCTGTCTAGTTCAACATATATGAGAATGCCAGAGGAGCTCAAGTTGCTTCCCCCTTTTCTGCTTCGACCTGTGGGAACATGTTGTTCTGTATTATTTTTTGGGGCAAAAAGGGGTTGTCCATCAGAGTAATTTTTTTGGACTATTGGGTCTTTTATCTTGTAAGCAAGGTTATTTGTGTCAAATCGAAACTGAAAAAAGTCGGATCATCTTTCTCATGCAAGAGTTGGTCCGATGAAGTTTTCTGGTAGAGAAAGTCATATAAATTGCAACATAAGAGGAGGCTTAGAACAAATAAAGCCGTTTTATCATGGAGTGTATCTAAACTGTGAAATCTTTGCTGCAGGATATTGTTGCTAAAATTTACATAGGCTCCAAAATGATTGGGCAAATTCATGGAAGGTCTTTTAACATACACAGACACCCCTTTGAATACAGAAAATCTCCAAATCAGAGTAGCTTGGATGGAGATGTAGTGTTCTGGGCTCTGTGGTAATATCCTTGCCTTATCTTTATGTTGATCCAAAGCTGTCTGTTAGTTGATATCTTGGGAGATTTTGGGCAAGGCAGAGTTCTGCTCTAACTTGGTGCAGCTGGTCTTTTGTTTGTCATCAGGAGAGAAGGTGATCTTAACAGAAACTGGAAGTGCAAAGGTCCTGGAAGAAATGAGGGCCTGCACCCGAATCAGGCTTTTGAACTCATGGTTTTGTTGTGTGTTTTTGCATTTGGTGAAGCAGCAGTGCAGGAAATACATTCACAATGACGTCTTTGCATGACTCACTAATCAGTTGCAGCACCAAGGGTGCTTGGAAAGTGCTTAAAACCAGTCTGCATCTCTCACTGGGCCTGAGGTAATTGTGTGTGGATGAGTCGGTCATGAAAGCTCGGCCTCTCAGTGAGGCAGCTCTTGCCCAGAGAGAGAGATCTCCTCTCTAAAAATACCCTGGAAGCAAACAAGAAAAAGGATCTGAGGTCTGAGGAGGGTTCTGACCTTTAGGCTGCCATCTAATACTCCATCCAAATTGT